GAATGCAGGGTCCGGGGAGAGCGGATATAGTGAATGCAGGGTCAGGGGTGAGCGGATATAGTGAATGCAGGGTCCGGGGAGGGCGGATATAGTGAATGCGGGGTCCGGGGAGAGCGGATATAGTGAATGCGGGGTCCGGGGAGAGCGGATATAGTGAATGCGGGGTCCGGGGAGAGCGAATATAGTGAATGTGGGGTCCGGGGAGAGCGGATATAGTGAATGCAGGGTCCGGGGTGACCGGATATAGTGAATGCAGGGTCCGGGGAGACCGGATATAGTGAATGCGGGGTCTGGGGAGAGCGGATATAGTGAATGCAGGGTCCGGGGAGACCTGATATAGTGAATGCGGGGTCCGGGGTGACCGGATATAGTGAATGCAGGGTCCGGGGAGGCCGGATATAGTGAATGCAGGGTCCGGGGGGTTCCAGATATAGTGAATGCGGGGTCCGGGGGGACCAGATATAGTGAATGCAGGGTCCGGGGGAAACAGATATAGTGAATGCGGGATCCGGGGTTTTAGTAACACCTTAAGATCGGTCATACACTATAACTTTCACACAAACTAATTAAAATACACATATTGTAATTTTTTTTTTTTACCAGAGACATGTAGCAGAAACTTTTTTTGCCTAAATGTATAAAGACATTTGATATTATTGGATATATTTTATTACAGAAAAAAGAAAATGTTGTATTTTTCATTTCTATAATAATAAATAAAAAGCAACCCAGTGGTGATCAAACACTACCAAAAGAAATCTCTATTTGTGTGGAAAACGTTATAAATGTCATTTACATAAAGTGTTGCATGACCGTGCAATTTCCAGCTAAAATAGCACAGTGCTGAATAGCAAAAAATGCCCCGGTCATGAAGGGGCATTGAGGTCAAGAACAGAAGACATTCTATTCACAAATGCAGAAGTATGGCAAGCAAAATGGGAGAGCTGTAAGTTTTGTTGAAAGAAGAACACATTGGGGTTGATTTACTAAAGGCAAATGGACTGTGCACTCTGCAAGTGCAATTGCTCCAGATCTTAGTAAATGAGCAGAAGTTCTGCTGACTTCCAACATCCAATCATGTGCAAGCTAAAATTCAGGAGATATATATATATATATATATAGATAGATAGATAGATAGATAGATAGATAGATAGATAGATAGATATTTCCCCTGCACCTGATTGGGTATTCTTTGAAAAGTGAAGCTTTACCTCATTTACTAAGCTCTGGAACAACTGCGCTTGCAGAGTGCACAGTCCATTTGCCTTTAGTAAATCAACCCCCACGATTTCACTGGTATTGCAGAATCCTGGCGTAATTCTTCACTGTTCATATTCCAGAATATGTTCTCTTTTAGACACAGAGGTAAATAATGGGAAATGAGCAGGCCAGCCCAGACCTTTTATTGCCTGCCCTGGTTCTTCAGTTTCAAGGTCTTCTGTGGCCACCTGGTGGATGTAATGCCAGAGGAGCGTTCTGGGTTGGCCCCAAGGTCTCCTTTCAGTGACCTATCCAGAAAGAGATCCTTGTTCTGACTTCTGACATACTTTACATTGTATCAGTGGTCTCCAAACTGTGGCCTGTGGTCCAGATGTGGCCCTTTGCCTACCTTCATCCAGCCCTTGGGGCACTATTTTTCTCCACTGATATCAACAATGGGGCATAATTCCCCCCATAATGACACCATTAAAGGGACAGAAAAACTCCCAATGACAGGTCACAATTCCTCCCAATGACACCAATGATGGGGCACAGTTCCCCCCAATGACACCAATAATTGGGGCCCAATGACCGTAACGATGGTGTGCTATTTCTCCCAATGACACCAATAATTGGGGCCCAATGACCGTAAAGATGGTGCGCTATTTCTCCCAATGACACCAATAATTGGGGCCCAATGACCGTAACGAAGGTGTGCTATTTCTCCCAATGATACCAATAACTGGGGCCCAATGACCGTAACGAAGGTGTGCTATTTCTCCCAATGATACCAATAATTGGGGCCCAATGACCGTAACGATGGTGCGCTATTTCTCCCAATGACACCAATAATTGGGGCCCAATGACCGCAACGATGGTGCGCTATTTCTCCCAATGACACCAATAATTGGGGCCCAATGACCGTAACGATGGTGCGCTATTTCTCCCAATGATACTAATAATTGGGGCCCAATGACCGTAACGATGGTGCGCTATTTCTCCCAATGATACTAATAATTGGGGCCCAATGACCGTAACGATGGGGTGCTATTTCTACCAATGATACCAATAATTGGGGCCGAATGACCCTAACGATGGTGTGCTATTTCTCCCAATGACACCAATAATTGGGGCCCAATGACCGTAACGATGGTGTGCTATTTCTCCCAATGACACCAATAATTGGGGCCCAATGACTGTAACGATGGTGTGCTATTTCTCCCAATGATACCAATAATTTGGGCCCAATGACCGTAACGATGATGTGCTATTTCTCCCAAAGATGTGGCATTGTTTATTCTACAGAAGTCAGGACCCTCCCTACTTCCAATAGTCCAGCCCTCCTTAGATCTGAAGGACAGTAAACTGGCCCTTTGTTTAGAAGGTTGGGAGGCCCCTGCATTGTAAGACGTACCAACCTCCGTTGGTTCTTCTCTTTTGGAAGAACAGACTGTAAGGCGAAGGCTGCCATCCGAGATATACGAGGGGCTTTCAAGTCAAACCGGGACTTTTGAGTTTATTTAATAAAAGAACAAATTTCAAGGAGTGGACTCCCCCCCCCCCCACTGCATTTATTTTTTGACATACTCCCCTGATACATGTATACACTTACCCCAGCCTTTAATTTATGCCTGGAAATTTTCAGCATAGAAAGATTTGTCAGGACACCTGAACCATTTTAGGACAGCTGGCTTCACTTCGTCATCATTGTGTTCCACAGAAAGATTCGTCTCTTGTGCAGTTTCAGGACAGGTTATGCATCAATTATTCAGGATCAGACGTTCCATGTGCTGAATGTTCATAGGAATGACTGCTGTGGACTGGGAACCACAATGGCCAGGATGGTCACTGATGGACGTACGGCCATCTTTGGAACGTTTACACCATTCAAATGTCTTACTGCAGCCGAGCGTCTCATCACCGTACTGTGCTTGAAGTCCTCTATAGATATCGGTGGACTGTGTACCTTCATTCACAAGAAACTTCATCCCCCCACACGCTGTTCCATGCACACACTAACACTGTTGTCTGCCATCTTGATTATCGGCCTCTGGACTGGCCCGCGACATGTGCGCCGCCTAATAGCACATACTGACCACTTACCACTGCATGTAGTGCCGTCACGCTAGCGTCCCTTTTTATACCTGGAAAATTAAAAGTTCCGGTTTGACTTGAACGCCCCCTCGTAGAATTTATTTACACCTTTATAGCTGGAGTAGATCCATTATCTGGAATATTCCAGGAACTCAAAGCCCAGAGCAATCCAAAGGGGTTGATGGTGCAGGGTCGGGTGGCCATTTATAAACCCTCTGTGCACGCTCCCTGGGAGCGCGCAGCACCACAATTCGGTGCCCGCTGTGTCCTCTGGACACCATGGGACACCAATCGTCATATGGGACCTCTGTGTGAGGTCCCGATCATGTGATCACTGATTGGCCAATCAGTGATCACATGCAGAGTAGTAAGCAAGATGTCACTTGTGACATCATTGCTCACTACGTGTGAAATCTGTGAATGATCACAGAGGTCACCTGGTACAGGGTTATTCACAACAGCCCTGTACCGTGTGACAAGTTGTGACCAATCACAGCTCACTCAGTACTTCTCAATGGCTGCAAGAATGCAGCCAGAGAGAAGGAGAAATGATTGCTTTTACAGCCTTTATGGGTGTAAAAACAATCAGTGTAAAAGAAAAAAAAAAATCTTCATCACCCCCCACAAGTAGTACAGTGTCACCATGGTGACACTGTACCGCTAGGTTGACGGTATGTAAAAAAAAAAAAAAAAAAAACGAATATAAAAAAATAAAATAAAAATGTAAAAAAAAATGTTTAAAAATTATAATTTTTGGTTAAAAAAACTAATTTTTTTTTTTTTTTTACTAAAAAGATAAGGGAATACATTTTTTTTATAAATTGTCTTAAGATTTATGATGAAATATTATTATTTATTTGCAAAATTTAAAAATTTTTTGGACTTTTCCACTTACATAGCAAAAAAAAAAAAAAAATCCCAGCGGTGAATAAATACCACCAAAATAAAGCTTTATCTGTCTCAAAAAAATGCTAAATAATTCATGCGTGTACAGTGTTGCATGACCGCTCAATTGTCATTCAAAGTGTTATGGCGCTGAAAGCTGAAAATTGGCCTGGACTGGAAGGGGGGTGGAAAGTGTCCGGACTGGAAGGGGGGTGGAAAGTGTCCGGACTGGAAGGGGGGGAAAGTGTCCGGACTGGAAGGGGGTGAAAGTGTCTGGACAGGAAGGGGGGGAAAGTGTCCGGACTGGAAGGGGGGGAAAGTGTCCAGACTGGAAGGGGGGAAAGTGTCCGGACTGGAAGGGGGGGAAAGTGTCCGGACTGGAAGGGGGTGAAAGTGTCCGGACTGGAAGGAGGGGAAAGTGTCCGGACTGGAAGGGGGTGAAAGTGTCCGGACTGGAAGGAGGGGAAAGTGTCCGGACTGGAAGGGGGTGAAAGTGTCCGGACTGGAAGGGGGGGAAAGTGTCCGGACTGGAAGGGGGGGAAGGTGTCCGGACTGGAAGGGGGTGAAAGTGTCCGGACTGGAAGGGGGGGGAAGTGTCCAGACTTGAAGTGGTTAAATATGACATGGTAAGTATACCGACCCCTAATGACTCAATGTTGGTGAAGGACACAAATTTGCTGGTAATAACAATAATGGTCTGTCACCATGGTGAAGGCCATTAAAATAGTTTGCTGACCTCTGTAAAAGTTTTGCTGAAATTGGTGGAATATTTTTTTTTCCAGTCTTTTGTGACAATTTTATTTTCTCCCTGTATTCTGTAGGGTCCATTATGGCGGAGTCAGTGGCCATGTTAAATTTCTACCCCAGTTTCCCAGCTGGACAGGAGCAGTCCAATTGTGGCGAGTTTATTTTCCTTGTGGACCGGTCCGGCAGTATGGAGTGTTCAATGAATAATGAGCCAAATGCCCCGCAGCGGATTCATAGTGCCAGGGTCAGTAAATTGTCCCAAATTGACCATTTAAGACTGACGGCATGAAAACGTGCTTCAGGACCCCTGTTGTAAATACTAAACAGTTGTACGTTTATGGAAGAACAGTCCGTTTGCATCAGGCGGAGCATGGGTTGTCCCTTGTGTGAGTGCCTTTAGTGCTCAGCATTTCCTCTGTTGCCCTGAGCATCCTACATCCAATTGTGCAATATTTAGAACCTCCAATGCTGCTAATTCTATACATGGTGTCATGTACCTTAGATAGTGAGCCTGACCTGAAGAGTCAGGCCTCCCGTACAGCTCCAACTCGAGGGTCACTGATGGTGAGATGGTAGCCACAGGAGCTCGGTGAGGTGCAGGTGCCTGTGATCAGTCCAGTAGTTTTTGTGTGTGAGTCAGTGGTGTATTTAGGTTTTGTGCTGCCCTAGGCAACACAAGAATTGGTGCCCCCCTGCAGAAAGAGCCTGACATTGACCAAGAATACCCCTGCCCTCCACCCGAGCCTTCCACTGCCACCCACACCATCCCCCATGGTGAGAGAGACACTCACCTTCACAGCTCCGGATATCCCCAGGAACGAGAGTCGGGCTGTGCATACACAGTCATGAAACCCATAGTATCTCTCAGAACCCACCAGATCCCCATGTGCGTTTGCCCCTTCTTCCATCTCTTCTTCCAAGGGGCAGTGCTGCCCCCCCTGAAAAATGCCGCCCTAGGCAAATGCCTTGTGGTAAATACACCCCTGGCGTGAGTGGAAGTCGACAGACAGGTGAAGAATCAGGACAGGTTGAAGGTGGACAGCTAGGCACGGATCTTGCTTGATGGCAGGTTAAAGGTAACAGCAGGAAGCAGAATCCAGATACGGACTTGCCGGACTGATGGACTGTAGCCAGCAGGAAGGTAGACGCAAAGTCAGACGAGCCGGGTCGGTAACAGTCGGGCAGATCAAGCATAGACGGCAGACAGCAGAGAAGTCAGGTCACAGGCCAAGTCCGGCAGCATAGGTATAATCGGACAAGATGAGGTCAAAACAAGTAAAAAGGTGCAGCGCTAGAAACATATAAAAATTACTAGATTAAAAGGTGTCAGTCTGTGCAAATCTGGGTACGATATAACAGTAGAATCCAAATAATGGTGCTCCAAATAGTGTGGTAAAATTACGCACTCACCAGATGCGTAATGTATATATGCATTATATAAATATGTAGAGGTCCCCTTTAGGAGTTGGATAAGGTCCTAATTCAGGATGATCCTCCCTCTAGGTATGGTGGTGCTGTCAGGGTTTCGTAGGAAGATACAGGATCCAGCTGACCAGAGATCCCTTTAAGGGATGGACAAGTGTAGGTGTCTCCTTTAAGGAACTCCCCTCTCCTGGGTAATGGTGGATGGCTGGATCGGATGGGCTCTAAAAGTAAATAGCTCCACATAGGAGACCATAAAAAATGCCCATAATGTAGTAGGGTAAATACCAATTTGTATATTATTAAAAGGAATTTGCAATTTCGACAGTGAAAATTCAAATATTAAAATAGTATAATGTAGTTTAGCGTCAGGTACGTGGACTAACCGTCCAGAAAGTAAGATGGCCGCCGGGCCTCCACGTAGCTCCGGGGCCCGTGTCCCCGTCCACACTCAAACCACACCCAAAAAAGCCTATGAAAGGTACCAGGACATCTTATGGGGCCCCCTACTGACCTCGGGCAGTGCCCGAGTGCCAAAATGGTCAGTCCGCCCCTTCATACAATTGTCCTTTAAATGGATTTGCTGCTTTACCTGTGAACTTGGCCTTTTCTCATCCTTTAACCTTCCAATAACTGGAAGATACAATGTCTACACTTGATAGATTATGACCAGGGGCGGACTGACTATTGGGGAACTCAGGCACTGCCTGAGGGCCCGAGGTCAGTAGGGGGCCCCATGAGATGTCCCTGGTACCTTTTCATAGGCTTTTTTGGGTGTGCTTTGAATGTGGGCGAGGACACAGGGGCCCCATGATCCCCTATTGCCCGGGGGCCCCATGAGTTGTCCGTCCGCGCCCCTGATTATGACGTATAATTGCATACCCTCCTCTGATCCCGCAGTTATTTCACTGTTTCCCTTCTGCATGTGAGCTGAACAGCAACTAAAACCGCTTCCTTTGCAATGCTATCATTAGAAGGACCTACCTGGTCATCAGATAAGGGGACTTTACTTAAGTGTGAAGCTAAGGTGATATTTAGAGACGTTCATTGAACCTGGGCTTGATTTGTTACAGTAGAAAATAAGATGAACCTGTGTGAATTCAAAGAGCCCAATCATACAAATCGAAAGCTTTTATAAAACGATCTGTGTTTACTTAGATGACCGGAGTACATGGGGATTCCCGTCCTCTCCGTTTCCATTAAAGTAAATATGGATCTGATCAGAGCAGGCAAACGGGGATGGGGAAGCAGTCCTTCAACTCATTATGCCGTGAGTGTAAAATTCAACTTGAGTTATTGACCTGCATACTATAGGGCTATAAACAATAGGCTTTTTTTCAGCAAAATAGGTAAGGAGAGCCTGTCACTGTCAACCTGGTCATTAATATAATTAGCTGGGCCAAAACCTAACCCATTTGGCATATCACTGCATATAGTAGAACTTCAGTATACATTTTGTATTGTAAGGCAACACAGTAAAGTAAAGTTTAACCGCTTTACTGGGGGAATTTCTTAATTTCTCATGTACATGTTAAAATTGGCATTTTTTTGCTAGAACATTACTTGGACCCCCCCCCCTCCAAACATATATTTTCTGAAAGGAGAGACCCTGCAGAATAGAATGCTGACTGCTGTCATTTTTATGTCACACGATATTTTCACAGCCATTTATCAAACGCAAATTTTCAGTAAAAGCTGCACTTTTTTAGCACACACAAAAACAAATATTCAATAGAAAAGATGGGACTTTCAGGGTGCATAGACATAAATACCACACATTAAAAAGTTATATTATTTTTAGTTCGTATTTTTGTAAAAAAACACAAGAAAAGAAAAAAATACAGAAACATAAAAACAATTTCAGTTCTAAGAATACCAACTGAGATTCAAACTTGGTTAGGTAATTGTAGTTACTCCCTACATGTTTCGCCCTCACGGGCTTCTTCAGGGGAGATTTTTTGAGGAAATATCTACCACCAAGGCAGTCCTGGATGTGAAAGCTCACGGAGCTAGGAGAAAATGACCTAAAAAAATCTCAAAATAATACCTAGTTTTTGGTCAAATATAAAGGATGATGTTAGATCAAGTAAACAGTTACCAAACATGTTGAGATTTAAAATTGCGTATGTTTGTGAAATGGTGACAGATTATAGTGCCTAAAATTGTTCATAAGCAACGATTCAAAGGCCGTTACAGGTTATCACATTTCAAAGATAAACATGAGCTACTGTGCCCAATAAAAGTTTGTTCAATATATATTTATAGTTATATACAATTATTTTTCTTTTTTGTCCAGTGACCCCATTCATTTTCTTTCCTCTGCAGGAGACTCTGGTTCTTCTGTTGAAGAGTTTACCTCTCAGGTGTTATTTTAATATCTATGGCTTTGGCTCCCATTTCGAGGCTTTCTTCCCGTGAGTATAAAGCTTGGGCAGTCTAAGTAAAGCATTTTGATACTAAGATGAACCTTATTACAGTATGGCCTCCTGCATATGCCTGGGGTGTGGCTGTTGGGAACGTGTCAGCTTTCTGGTAATCTTAGAACTAGTGTGTAGACCATTTGCTAGTTTTCCCGTCTTGTCTCTTATTTGAGCCTCATGTCAGTCAACATGAGGAGGACTCTTTGGTTTCAAGCTTTTGGCTGCGGAACCAGCCTATAAAAAGTGTTTGATTTACATACCTTTTGAGGGACAATGTCTTTTTTTTTTTAGATTGGCCTTTAAGGCACTCATCAAGGATACCACTGGGAGCAGGAGTACTCCTCTACCACAGCTGAAAAAGCTTAGGGTTCAGACATGGAAGGCTCATTCTTCCACAGAAGAAGAGTTTATTTTGTTACTCCCAGGCCTCCAACTCCAAAGCCAGCTCTAAACCTGGCTTCCAGACCACTTGCAAAACCTGTACATCTAAATCCTCCAAACCCTCAGATACATCTTCTTCAGCATGACTGGGCATCCCAGCTTTCCAAATAGGGTGATGTCCGCTAGTCTTTGTGGACATTTGGATAGTCCTATAGCATGCCAGATTTGGATAGCATCTCAGATGCTTGGCTGGGAGGGGGTTTTCATGGGGTACATGCTAGATTTCAGTTATCAGCTCCTTCTCAGAATTATGCCTTTTCAACCTACCTGTGCCATCCCACAGATTAACAGATCTTCATGGAGCTATCCTAGGTCTTTTGAATCAGGCGGTCATTGCTTCAGTACCTTTAGCCTTGGCAGAACAGTTCAAGGAGTTCTACCCCAAATTATTCAAACTTCCCAAACCAAGTTTCATCTTGGATGCCTTCATTCAGGTTTAAAAATTCTGTATTGAGTCCACCAGGTCTGTCATAGCCTTCTGCCTTCAGGGAGATCCTCTGGCCTCTGTGGACATCAAGCAAGCATACTTGCATGTCCCCCACTTTTTCACCACCTTATTATTATTATTATTGTACAGTTTACGCAGCGCTTTACAAAATGAACATTAGCAATTCGTTGGCCTTGCTGTGAATCCCCAAAACGTCTACATTTTGGTTCTGTCCTTCAATCTATCTTCTGTCCCTCAAGTTTTCAGATGCTAGCTCCTGTGCTAGCCTTGCTGGACTCTCAGAGCATCTCCAGTGTTGGATATCTGGATGACCTTCTGTTGGGGGCACAGTTAGTGCATATTTTTTAGTTCAAGCCATCTAGAGCTTGTAGAGATTCAACTGGGTCCTAAACCTTCAGAAGTCGATGTTTGAATTGACTCATCATTTGGAATATCTGTGTCTTTGCCTAGATAGAGCACAGGCCAGATTTTTTCCTCGCCAGAAGAAACTTTAAGATCTCTATTCTCAGACTCAGAATCTTCAGTCCAGGAGTCACTTAACTTCGTTCCTCCATAAGAGCTCTTGGGCTGATGGTAGCCTTCTTTGAAGCAGTCCCATTTTCCAGAATACTACAATGCTACATCCTGTCATCGTCGACAGACTGATTTGTCTGCCACTAAAGATCAGGTTGTCCCTGGCCTAGTGGCTCAGGAATACTGCTCTAGAGTTGGGGAAGTCCTTCCTTCTGGTTTAATAGAAGCTCATCACAATGGATACTAGCCTGTCATGCTGGGAAGAAGTCCTGGACTCTTAATTGATTCAGGGAACTTGAACGTTGCAGGATTTTGTCTTTTGATAACCATACTGGAGGTTTAGGAGTTCTGTGTGTCTTTGCAATGCAGGAAATGCCAACTGAAGGGTCATATGATCAGGATTCAGTTGGGCAAAGCCACAAGAGTAGCATACATCAATAATCAGGGAGCCACCAGAAGTCTTGCAGGGACACGTAATGTAGAAAACGATCTTTTCCTGGGCAGGACATCACATGGAAGGCAGACTACCTAAGCTAGCAGCATCTGGACCTAAAAGTGTCAGAGGTAGAAAAGGGGACCTCCTGATCTCTAGGTTCAACAACAATTTGGACAGGGTTGTCTTCAGGCACAGGGATCCTCTAATCAGTGAAACAGTGGATGCTCTTGTGCCTCTATGGGATCAGTACAACCTCATCAATGCCTTTCCCCACCTGAAACTCTTTCCTTATTTGCTTCACACCAATGAGATGGAGGACATTCCCGTGATCCTCATAGCTCTGGACTGACCAATGTGGTAATCTGGCCTGATCGTGCTCTTTGCAGATGCTCTGTGGGCTCTCCCAGATCATTGGCATAGTCTGTCTAATTGACCAGTTTATTACTCTTCTTCATGGCTTTATTGGCATGGCTGATAAAACTGAAGTTCTGAAAGACAGAGGCATCTTTCAATTAGTGATCCCCATGAGGCTTAAAACTAGGAAAACTGCTTCCTGCAAGGTCTACGATCACACATGGAAATATCACTTCGCTTGTCAAAAACTTTCTTTTCAGTAGCATAGTCCTGGTATATGTACAAATGGACCTTGATCAGCATTTAGCCATCAAGGGTCACATATTTGTCCTTGCAATTTTATTCCAAAGATCAATAGCTTCTTATTCTTTTATTAAGACTTTCTCTCACATGGTTCCCCTGTGACTGTGGGATCTGAATTGAGTTCACTTGTCACTTCAAGAAAAAAAAAATCACCCTTTGAACTGAAAAAACACTTTCTGCTACCACACAGAAACAAGCAGATTTTGAACTTCCAGGTTGTTGTGCTTCTGACCCACTGTCCAGCTCCAATGTATCAGAAAGTAGTCTCGCTCCATTGTCTGGATGTACTTTGTCCTGTGCCCATTTGCCTTCCAGACAGTGCTTCCCTTAGGAAGACTGACTTTATCTTTGGCATTCCCAATGGTCCCCATAAAGGGGAAATTGCTTCTTGTCCCGCCATTTTCAGGTGGCTCAGACAGAGCATCATTCAAGCTTATATTCTAAAGCAGGGGTCTCCAAACTATGTCCCTCCAGGTGTTGAGGAGCTGCAAGTCCTATGAAGCCTTGCAAAACTCTGACAGCCACATGTAAGACTCCCAGAGGCATGATGGGACTTGTAGTGCTTCAACAGTTGGAGGGCCATAGCTTGGAGACCACTTCCCCCATCAGCTTCCACTATTTCCTGTCAAGACATGCCCTACCAGATTAGTCAGTGATTCTTGGGCTTTTTGCAACAGGCCACTGTTTCCCAAATGTGTAAGCGTCCACCTGGTCTTCTGTTCATGCCTTCTCTAAGTTTTATCTCAGGCTTCATCTGATGGCAGCTTCAGCCGTAATGTCCTTCAGGAAGCTCTTTGAGCTGCAGGCACTCCCTAGTTCTGTAGCTTTCGTGTGGGTCTGTTAGTGTTATGTTGCTGTTTCCCACCCCTATGTTGGACCATTTTTGGACAACCCAACTGTTTCTGAATTGCTGTGTCCTTCAATGGAATGGGATATTTCTACTTACTCAAATATCCAGTTCTTAGAATTTATTGTGGGACACAGGTCCCACCTCTCTGCACCTACGATCATGCTCTCAGTCCTAATATACAGAAAAGTGCAGCGTTAAAATAATAATAGCAATAATAATGATAAATAAATCAATAAAATCAATATATAAATTGTATCCGATGTGAATAAATGAAATATGGATAAAAATATGAGTAAAAATAGTTCCAATGGTATTGTGGCAGTGCGGTATCCTGCCATGGTGAAAATCACGGTGATAACCCAGGATTCTCAACCATACAGGTTGAGGGGCTCCAGGCAGTTCTCTTAATGCAGAGGAAACTGGTTTATTGGTTTCCTCTTTGGTTTGTAAAGCCTGTTTTGGGACCTGTAGCCTGGAGATTTCTAAGAGATTTGGGAGGGAAGAAATCTCCAATCCTGGGGCCATGTTTTGAGAGCAGCCAGCGCACTGATTGCACAGGTGTGTGCAGGCCTTTTTGTGGAGGCCAGGCCATGATTCTGGGCTCTACCCCGGCAGACAGTAGGTCTCTGCCTTGGAGTCAGGTGGGCTTCACCTAGTAGAGGTGGAAGCCAGAATAGCTGTGTGCTAGAGGTTCGCTGTGTGCAAAAACAACCCCTTGGAAGGAGTCTGTAGGAGACCGACATAAAGCGGTATGCCTGAGAGAGCCATAAGGCTGAATATGGTTTGATGGTGGATACCCCTGCGTGGGAAGCATTTTTGTTTATTGAACATTTTCGTTAAAATTGGGCTAAAAAGGCCTTTTAAAAGAAGAAGCAAGTTGCTGTGTGCTTTAAAAAAGAAAAGCTCTACCAGTTTGATGTGAGTTCCCACAGTATATAAAACAGTTAAAGGTAACTCTTGTGCTCTGGTGACTCTGGATCCAGCGTCCGTGCAATATTGGTGTAAGTAATGCGCACTCACCGGATGCGCATGTATAATGCGCCTTATGTTCATAATCCAGATGTCATCAGAAGGAGGGGGTCAGGAACTGGAAGGTCTTCCCTCTAAGGGATGGCAGATCGTCAGACAGGATCCTTTAGGGATTAACAGGTGATCCACGTCCACCGAGGTTCCCCTTTAGAGAACCTGGTAATGCTCCCTGGGTAGGTAGATATCCTCTGTAGATATGATGAGCCGTCCTGAAGCAGAGTATCTCTAAAATAGAGAGCTCCCCCACGGGGTTGGGACAAGGATACGCCCATAGTGTAGTAGGTATGAATAAATTTTATTAGGACAATATGATCAGATGCATCAAAGGTATAATAATAGCATGCAGTATACACAGGACTAACCGTCTGGTTTTAAAAGATGGCCGCCGGAGCTCCACGTTGCTCCGGCAGCGTGACGTCACGGCGTGATGTGGCTCCTCCTGACGTGTATCGAGCTCAAGCACGTCTTCAGAAGGGGGGTTGCCAATGCTCTCAGTCCTGCTTTTAAACAAAGTAAAGAAGTAGGAGGTTATACTGGGCTGGCCTACATTTTTTGGGGGGTTTACCTGTGTCTAATATCTCCTGTAGTCAGCAGTATAACCCAATAGCAGCTAAATTCCCATGTCCCTCAATGAACTCAATAACATGACCTTGTTCAATAATGTTCCCCAGAGAGAGTGTGGAGTACACACAGAAATCCATGGAGAAGGCGGTGAAGAAGGTCAATGAAATGGACGCGAGCTTTGGGGGAACAGAAATCCTCCAACCCCTACAGAAGATCTACCAAACAGGCGGGAGAGCCGAGCACCCCCGACAGGTCAGTGAGGCTGAAAAACATTTTGTAGACTAGTTCCTATTGAGTGTTGACCATGAAAGAGGAGAGTTCCAAGCAGTGGTGTATTTAGGTTTTGTGCTGCCCTAGGCAACACAAAAATCGCCCCCCCCGCACGGAGAGACCCTGACACCGACCAACACCCCCCTCCCCCACAAAGAGTGCCTGACATTGACCAACAACACCCCAGCCTCACCCGAGAGAGCCTTCTACGACCACAGCCCCCCATACACTGGCATCCCCACTCCGGTGAGAGAGAAGACTCTCGCCTTCACAGCTCCGGACATCTCCGGGAACAAGGGTCAGGCTCTGCATACACCATCAAGCAGCCCCTATCAGATCCCACCTGGTTGCCATGCTGCTTGTGTCCCTCCTTCCATCCCTTCTTTAGGGAGGAGGCGCTGACCCCCTGAAAAATGCTGCTGCCCCCCTGAAAGATGCCGCCCTAGGCAAATGCCTTGTTTGCCTTGTGGTAAATACACCCCTGGTTCCAAGTACATGTGTTATGGGGTTACAGAGCTTAATATCAACTTATTTATGACTTTGACTTTTGTCTGAAGTTCTCCTATAGTAGAACTTCAGTATACATTTTATATTGTAAGGCAACATAGTAAAGTAAAGTTTAACCGCTTTACTGGGGGAATTTCTTAATTTTTCACATACATTTTTATTTCGTATTTTTGTAAAAAACACAAGAAAAGAAAAAAAATACAGAAACATAAAAACAATTTCAGTTCTAAGAATACCAACTGAGATTCAAACTTTGGTTAGGTATTTGTAGTTACTCCCTACATGTTTCGCCCTCACGGGCTTCCTTCAGGGGAGATTTTTTTAGGAAATTTCTACCGCAAAGGCAGTCCTGGTTGTGAAAGCTCACAGAGCTAGGAGAAAATGACCTAAAAAAATCTCAAAATAATACCTAGTTTTTGGTCAAATATAAAGGATGATGTTAGATCGAGTAAACAGATACCAAACATGTCGAGATTTAAAATTGTGTACGTTTGTGAAATGGTGACAGATTACAGTACCTAAAATTGTTCATAAGCAACAATTCAAAGGCCGTTACAGGTTATCACATTTCAAAGATAACCATGAGCTACTGTGCTAGAATTATTGTTCTCACTTTGATACATTTTTAAAAATTTAATTCACCCCCGTGCTCATGCGCAAATGCAAATGACCATGTAAATCAGGCATTTCCATATAAACGCCTGACCTACATGGGCATTTGCGCATGAGCACGGGGGTGATTTTAATGGTTTAAAATTTGTATTTATTTTATTTACATTTTTCTTTTTTGTACACTTTTTTAATTTTTTTTTTTTTTCCATTTAACTTTATTGCTATCACAAATGGTGAACACACCCCCTGTGATAGCTCTGGCCAGTGACAGGTACTCTTTATGGCCTTTTTGCTCTCAAAGACAGCTGATCTGTTTGATTAGCTGCTTCAGGATGTAGCAGTTAGGGTGTGGGACAGGAGTGACTTTGGGTGGGGGGCCCGTGGAACACAGCTCACTTTGGAGGGGTGGGGAGACCCCTGTCTCAGCTCCCCATATCCCTCTTATGTGTAAGTCACCCTGTGCCTGTTAGGGGTGCAGGGTGAAATGTCCTGATATTGTGTAGACATGTCTAGGAGATAGGTGGGGGGTTGTGGATTGTTTGGTGTTATGTGGTTGCATCCCATTGTTCTATTGTGTGTCTTGCTTGGGAGCAAACTATTATGGGATGTATGTGTTTGTGTATTGGCTTGGTGGGGGGGTGTTTGCTGATGTGTTTCTTGTTGCTAGTTTTGGTTTGCCCCGCCCTGTGTCCTTATGCAGGGGGTGAGAATTGTTCCCTTGAATGTATATATCTTGTGTCTGTGTTAAAATAATGGAGTCTATTTCCTGGTTTTCGTTCAAGAGTGGTGTCCGTGGATCTGTGTTCGTACAGGCAAACGAGAGTCTAACGGAAATACCCTAGTGCAGTCGGGGTCCGGTTCTGTTACAGGGAGTGACATCCCTGGAACCATACGTTGTTGCTTCTGGCTTCAGTTATCACAGAGGAGATCAGGGAACAGAGGACTCCACAGTGGAGCAGGAGAGCCCAGAAAGGGCGGTTGACAGTGGTGGGAGGGGCAGCCTCTTCCAAGCTCTGTAAAAGTGATCAAGTGGCTATAAAGCCATCCCGATCACTTTCACAGGAATGTCAATCAATGACTTTAAAAAATGTTACCAGAATCATGGTTGTAACCATTTACAGTATATACAACGTATGTATCGTGTGCAGCAACTGTGTTGATGACCTCTGTTGCTCTATTATTCCTGGTAATACATGCAGCATGCTGGATCCAATGTGATCTGTTCCGTGTTTCCTTATTCTGTTGTATTTGATCCCTTCTCTGTCCTTTCTCCAGCTTTTTGTCTTCACGGATGGAGAAGTCGGGAACACAAAGCAAGTGATCAACGAAGTTCAGAAAAATGCTCAGAAACACCGGTAATCAGGGCTTTTTTTTTCCCTCAAAGAATAGGTGTAGGTACTCCCCACTTCACTTGTCTCCGCCCCCAACCTAACTACCATTACCCCCCTGCATAGAAAACCAAGTATAATTTTGTGTTGATAATCTGCATAAAGGTTTGTTAATTATAACAAGAAAAGCAGTACAGTAGATCCCCGTGCAGCCAGCAAAAATAGACCCTTCCAGCAGAAATAGATCCCCAACAACAATAAACCCCCTGAAAAAAAAATCCCTCCAGCAGCAATAGACCCCACCAGCAACAACAGATCTCCCATCAATAGACAGCCCAGTGATCAGCAACAATAGACCCTTCCAGCAGAAATAGATCCCCAACAACAATAAACCTGCTGCAATGAAAATATCCCTCCAGCAACAACAGATCTATCTTCAATAGACACCCCAGTGATCAGCAACAATATACAGTTGTGGCCAAAATTATTCAACCCCCACTGAAATTGAGTGTTTTGGCCAGTTTGACATTGCTTTTGATCATTCAGTCATCTTGCTTACATTTACATTAAAGAGGCACTTGTAGGTCAGACAAATATAACATAACAGTTATAATGAAATAACCACAAATGTCTTTTCTGTGCTCACAGCATTATCAGTTTTATTCAACCCCCAAGTGACATTCAATCTTAGTACTTAGTACAGCATCCTTTTACAGTTATAACAGCTTTTAAACGTGAAGCATAGCTTGACACAAGTGTCTTGCAGCGATCTACGGGTATCTTCGCCCATTCTTCATGGGCAAAGGCCTCCAGTTCAGTCACATTCTTAGGCTTGCGCACTGCAACTGCTTTCTTTAAGTCCCACCAGAGGTTCTCAATCGGATTTAAGTCTGGTGACTGCGATGGCCACTCCAAAATGTTCCAGCCTTTCCTCTGCAACCATGCTCTAGTGGACTTGGAGGTATGCTTGGGATCATTGTCCTGTTGAAAGGTCCAACGTCTCCCAAGCCTCAGGTGTGTGACGGACTGCATCACGTTTCCATCCAATATCTCCTGGTACTGAAGAGAATTCATGGTACCTTGCACACGCTGAAGCTTCCCTGTACCTGCAGAAGCAAAACAGCCCCAAAGCATGATTGACCCTCCACCATGCTTCACAGTAGGCAAGGTGTTCTTTTCATCATAGGCCTTGTTCTTCCTCCTCCAAACATAGCGTTGATCCATGGGCCCAAACAGTTCTAATTTTGTTTCATCAGTCCACAGAACACTATCCCACAACTTTTGTGGTTTGTCCACATGGCTTTTGGCATACTGCAGTCGACTCTTCTTATTCTTTGGAGACAGCAAGGGGGTACGCCTGGGAGTTCTGGCACGGAGGCCTTCATTACGCAGTGTGCGTCTTATTGTCTGGGCTGAAACTTCTGTACCCACATCTGACAAATCTTTTCTCAGTTCCTCAGCAGTCACACGGGGACTTCTCTCCACTCTACGCTTCAGGTAGCGCACAGCAGTCGAAGTCAGCATCTTCTTTCTGCCACGACCAGGTAGCGTTTCAACAGTGCCCTTTGCCTTGAATTTGCGAATGATGCTTCCTAAGGTGTCTCTTGGTATGTTTAACATCTTTGCAATCTTCTTATAGCCATTGCCCTTCCTGTGAAGAGAAATCACCTCTTCTCTTGTCTTCCTGGACCATTCTCTTGCCTTCACCATGTTTGTAACCACACCAGTAAATGTCTAGAAGGAGCTGAGTATCACAGTCATTTTAAAGCTGCCTAATTGGTGCTTATTATGCTTGATTGCTGCTCGGTGACATCCACAGGTGTTTTCAATACCTGATGGAAAGCACCTGTATGAACCTCTGTTCTTCAGAGTGGTAGTCTTTAAGGGGTTGAATAATTGTGGCAATGAAGAAACCACATAAGAACCATTTACTACTGTATTACATAAACAATTGATGTCATTTTAGTTGCATTTGGGTAGTTACAACGTCCTTGTAGGATTTGATTCTGAATACAATTCCAAATGTACACTATAGTCCCTAAACCCCTTTACAGCATTGGGGGTTGAATAATTTTGGCCACAACTGTACCCTTCCAGCAGAAATAGATCTCCAACAACAATAAACCCCCTGCATTAAAAATATCCTCCAGCAGCAATATACCCCTCCCTCAACAGTAGATCCCCCATCCATAGACACCCCAGTGATCAGCAACAGTAGACCCCTCCCTCAATAGTAGATCCCGTCCAGCTCTCATTTGTAATTTCCGTACGACCAATAACAGGGACTTCTTAAAACATGTTCCCCCTTTGCAGGTGTTTTACATTCGGGATCGGTGAAGGAGCCTCCACGTCTCTTATTAAAGGCATGGCCCGGGCTGGAAGTGGAACCTTTGAATTTATCACCGGCAAAGACCGCATGCAACCCAAGGTGAGAGTATACTGGAGACCTGTATATATAGTGTAGAATAATTCTTCCAAATGCTGAAAACAGACAATCTGAAAGATATTAAAGTGATTCTAAATGTAATTTTTTTTTCTTTAAGATAACAAACATGTTATACTTACAGTTGTGTTCAAAATAATAGCAGTCAGACATCACTAACCGGATCAATCACTGTTTTTGGTATAAATGATATTCCTACATGGCAAATAATTTCCTAGCAGGTGTAGTAGAGTAATAGAAATCCAACAGACCCAACAGTCATGACATGCATGCTGCTGATTCTGTGTCATTGAATCACTCATTGAAAGGGGCGTGTTCAAAATAATAGCAGTGTGGAGTTCTATTAGTGAGGTCATTCATTCTTTGATAAACAGGTGGCAATTATTGCCCTTATTTAAGGAAGGAAGGCAGCAAATGTTGGACATGCTGGTTACAGTGCATTTCTCTCTGAAATTCTGAGGAAAATGGGTCGTTCCAGACATTGTTTAGAAGAACCGCGTACCTTGATTAAAAAGTTGATTGGAGAGGGGAAAACATATAAAGAAGTGCAGAAAATGATCGGGCTGCTCAGCTAAAATGATGGTAAATGCTTTAAAATGGCAACCAAAACCTGAAAGACGCGGAAGAAAGCGAAAAACTACCATTGGAATGGATAGAAGAATAGCCAAAATGGGGCGGACTCAGCCAACAATCAGCTCCAGGAAGATGAAAGAAGGTGTGACGTTTCCTGTGAGGACTGTTACAATTAGAAGACGCCGATGTGAAGCCAAGCTATCTGCAAGAAGTCCCCGCAAAGTCCCACTGTTGGGAAAAAGACATGTGCTGAAGAGGTTACAATCTGCCAAAGAGCACATTGACCGGTCTAAAGAGAAATGGTGCAACATTTTGTGGACTGATGAAAGTAAGATTGTTCTTTTTGGGTCTAGTGGGTGGAGACAGTTTGTCAGACGACCCCCAAACACTGAATTCAAGCCACAGTACACTGTGAAGACCGTGAAGCATGGTGGTGCAAGCATCATGATATGGGGATGTTTCTCATACTACGGTGTTGGGCCTATTTATCGCATACCAGGGATCATGGATCAGTCTGAATACATCAGAATACTTGAAGAGGTCATGCTGCCTTATGCTGAAGAGGAAATGCCCTTGAAATGGGGGTTCCAACAAGACAACGACCCCAAACACACCAGTAAACGTGCAACATCTTGGTTCCAAACCAACAAGATTGACGTTATGGAGTGGCCAGCCCAATCCCCGGATCTTCATCCAATAGAAAACTTGTGGGGTGACATCAAAAATGCCGTTTCTGAGGCAAAACCAAGAAATAGAGAAGAACTGTGGATTGTGGTCCAATCATCCTGGGCTGGAATACCTGATCACAGGGGCCAGAAGTTGGGGGACTCCATGCAACACAGATGTACAGCAGTTCTCAGAAACAGAAACAGTGCGACTACAACCAAATATTCATGAAGTCATTCAAAGGAAAGCAAAATCTTCAAACATTTCTCAGTTTATATAGTGAATGTTTGAGTTTGTAAAGAGGAATACAAACACTGAGATTTTTTTGAACCGTCTAATATTTACTTTTCTTCCATTTTTTTAGAGGAACAACACAAATTTGATGTATTTTTCTTCATGTTGTGATTTGGAATAGTATGTGTCGTGTTCCCAATGCATTTGTGTGGATGGAAATAAAAGCTATTAGAAGGATTTTCAGCTTTATTCACTTTTTTCAACACACTGCTATTATTTTGAACACAACTGTACCTGCTCTGTGCAATAGTTTGCACAGAGCAGCCCTGATCCTCCTCTCCTCGGATCCCCCCACCAATGCTCCTGGCTTCTTGCCAGGAGGGCAGGATTGCTGATATGAGTGCAATCATATGGGCTTGCTCATGAGCCTCGCTGTCTGTGTCTATTGGCACCACCTCCCCCCTCCACTCCCTCATCCCTGGCTGTGATTGATAGCAGCAAGAGTCAATGGGGAGCTGGGCACTTCCATGCAAAAAAAGGACCAATGCAAAAAAAAGGTTTTAAAGAGGTACAGTGGAGGGGGGGAGGGTTTATGAGGGTTCAAGGGCAACATTCAAAACACATGAATCCTGTAAATAACATGCTTGGGGAATGCTGTACGTGGTGTTATGGAACGGTATTATATTCAGAGTCTCAGCAACAGCATATACTGTAGAATTGATTTTTTTTTTTTTTTTTTTTAAACCTGGATCACATAAAGCTGTAGCACCCCAATAAGATTCATTGCATATTGAATGTAATAAGAAAATAAGTAAAAATTAAAAAAAAAAATGTGAAAAAAGTGTTGGGTCCCCCTTAATATTCCAACCAGACCCTTATCCAGGCTGCCAGGGACCACTTAGTGATGTATAATGTCGCTGCTATGGGCATTGCTGTGATCGGAGAGGCCTGCAGTGACTGGTGGATAGAAATTGGCCAATAGTTTACTGAGGATGTCCGTGTTCTTGCTGAGGCAAAGCTGTCCTGATGATTTCTATCAATCTCTCAATAAGAATTATACACGGCTCAGAATACTGAAAGGAACACTTTGAAAACCCATCAGATCTCAATGGAGAGGAATCTCCTGCTGGATCTCTATACTGATATGGACGGGGTAATGCGTTAGGAACGTAAGGACGCCCCATCGTTTGAATTCAGTCCTCTGTAGGTTGATCGGTTTCATTTCCATCAAAGACACCCTGAAAATCAAAGTGAAAACATTATGCAGCAGGCGAGTCCATTTTGCTGAAATGTCATTGCAGCAACTCAGAATGGTGCTCAGTAGTTTGTATGGTCCCCACATGCTTGTATGCATGCCTGACAATGTCGGGGGAGGCTCCTAATGAGACCATGGATGGTGTCCATTAGAGTTTCCTCCAAGATGTGGACCAGGGCATCACTGAGCTCCTGGACAGTCTGAGGGGCAACCTGGCGGTGTCGAATGGGCTAAAACATGACATCCCAGAGGTGTTCTATTGGATTTAGTTCAGGCAAGTGTAGGGGCCATTCAATGGTATCAATTCCTTCATCCTCCAGGAACTGCTTGCATACTCTCCCCACATGAGGCTGGGCATTGTCATGCACCAGGAGGAACCCAGGACCCACTGCACCAGGAGGAACCCAGGACCCACTGCACCAGCGTAGGGTCTGACAATGGGTCCAAGGATTTCATCCCGATACCTATTGGCAGTCAGGGTGCCATTGTCTAGCCTGTAGAGGTCTGTGGGTCCCTCCATGGATATGTCTTCCCAGACCTTCACTGACCCACCACCAATACGGTCATGCTGAACCACGTTACAGGCAGCAGAATGTTCTCCACGGCTTCTCCAGACCGTTTCACGTCTGTCACATGTGCTCAGGGTGAACCTGCTCTCATCTATGAAAAGCACAGGGCGCCAGTGGTGGACCTGCCAATTCTGGGGTTCAATGGCAAATGCCAATCCAGCTCTATGGTGCCGGGCAGTGAGCACAGGGCCCACTAGAGGACGTCGGGCCCTCAGGTCACCCTCATGAAGTCTGTTTCTGATTGTTTGGTCAGAGACATTCACACCAGTGGCCTGCTGGAGGTCATTTTGTAGGGCTCTGGCAGGGCTCACCCTGTTCCTCCTTGCACAAAGGAGCAGATACCGGTCCTGCTGATGAGTTATGAACCTTCTATGGCCCTGTCCAGCTCTCCTAGAGGAACTGCCTGTCTCCTGGAATCTCCTCCATGCTCTTGAGACTGTGCTGGAAGACACAGCAAACCTTCTGGCAATGGTACGTATTGATGTGCCACCCTGGAATAGTAGGACTGCCTGTGCAACCTCTGTAGGGTCCAGGTGTCGCCTCATCCGACCAGTAGTGACACTGATCCTAGCCAAATGCAAAACTAGTGAAAAACTAGTCAGAAAAGATGAGTAGAGAAAAAAAGTCAGTGGTCTCCACATCTAAAACCATTCCTGTTTCGGGGGTCGTCTCATTGTTGCCCATCTAGTACACCTGTTGTTAATTTCATTAACACCAAAGCAGATGAAACTGATTAACAACCCCCTCTGCTACTTACCTGACCAGATCAATATCCCAGGAGTTTCATTGACTTGATCCTATACTCTGATTAAAAAGTGTCCCTTTAAATTTTTTGAGTGGTGTACTGCTGTCAAGTTGTAGCCCCGTGTGGACAGTTCAACACTGGTACTAATATAGATCTGTGAAGTCCCTGGTTCCTTCATTTATTTTATCCTGTGTTGAGCTTTGATGAACGGGGAGTGGTCATGTTGCCCCCCCAAAACACATTGGCTGTTTTTTATGACTTTTTTTTTTTTTTAACCAATAAATTAAAATTTTCTTGGATGCCTTTATCCTTTCTGTATTTCTTTGCTTTACAATTGCTGAGAAGCAGGGCAGTTTACAAATGTGTTTTACTACAAGAATTAGGAGACTGTAGAATACACAGCGGTGTAAAAGTGGCCAGCAATAAGACTACTTTAAATAGCTAGGATAGGCCCAAATTTACTAGCGACAAATGGCACAGACAGGGGCTTTACCACCAGAATTGGGATTCTGCAGAGGATACAGCGTGTAAAATTGGCCAGCAGCAATCTGGAATAACAGGCCTAACAAGTGTAGGCCTAACTTTTTCAAACCATGCAGCAGCATGCTGCTAACGAAAGGCAGCTACCACAATTGATTGTCAACAAAAATGATGTTGTGCTTTGAGTACCCCAAACGCAAAATAAAAATACGCTCAAACAAAACCCCCGTTATTAACCTTTCTAAGCCAGCTGACCTAAGAACAAAGGTCTTTGCAGTGCATTATTGTTACAAATCATTTACCAGAACTGCAAACTATGAACATGCAGGATTCACCTTGAACCCATGGTAGATACAAATCAGGTAGGGAGCAGGATAGGGTGGGAAAGGATGAAAAGCTACCCCGTTCACCCCACCATGAAGATGAACCTTGATCTCAAGTTATAAAATAGTAAGATAGCTGGGATTCATTAATAGGTGTGTGTGTCTGCTATCCAGGTTTGCCATATAGGCGACTTCCCCTCATACACCCCCCTATCCCGAGTGACAGAGAGATGAGCTGACTGCTGTGCTGCTTCTCCTTTCACTGTCCAGTCACAAGCTGGGGTGGGTCTTAGAAGGACCTGGGTTCAAATGAAGTGGGTTGAATGATGCTGGCCATCAAACTGAGGACATCTAGTGACAGAAAAAAATAATACTGTGGAGAGAATCTCTGAATTGAAGGTCAACATTGCAGTAAAATCTGTTGTTCGTTTTTATCGTATTTGTGGCTCAAGTTCTACTTTAAAGTGGTTCTAAAGGTAGATTTTTTATTTTTTTTGGCTTAATGTATTCTATGTATTAAGGTAAAAAACCTTCTGGGTGCAGCTCCCCCCAGCCCCCCTTATACTTACCTGAGCCCATCTCGATCCTGCAATGCACATTGAGAGCAGCAGCTCTCCCAGGTCTCTCTCTTCTCATTGGCTCACACAGTAGCGAGAGCTATTGACTCCTGCTCCTGTCAATCACGGCCAGCGAGCCAATATAGAGAGAGTGTGTGTGTGTGGTGGGGGCAGGGCCGAGCCATGCTCTGTGTGTGAATGGACAAAGTGGACACAGACAAAGTCCATTCACAGGAACGTGGCTCGGGAGCGAGCCTGCTTGAGTGCCCCCATAGCAAGAGCCTTGTTATTGGAGGCACTCGGCAGGGGGGAGCAGCCAGGATCGCCGACTGGGGAGCCAAAAAGAAGAGGATCGGGGCTGCCCTGTGCAAAATCATAGCACAGAGCAGGTAAGTATAACATATTTATCTAAAAAAAAAAGACAACCTTTGTAATCATTTTAAGTTACACTTATCTTTTTATGTTTCTTTTTACTATACTCTAGGTTCTTCGGGCACTCAAATGCTCCTTACAGCCCACTGTGAAGGACGTCTCTCTCACATGGACCCTTCCTTCTGGTGTGGAAGCCATCGTCTTGTCCCAAGTGCCCAATGCCATCTTCCAGGGTCAAAGATCTATTGTCTACGCTCAGCTGAAGGGAAAGGTATGTGCGCCCAGGGAAGATTGAGTTTTGTTACTTCAGTTCCAAGGCTGCAGGAAAATATTTTTAAATGAAGATTACAATGCTTGGATGGGATGGTGTTTGGCAGAATATAGGAGGTCTCAGGACTCTAGGCTTAGAACGGAGACTGGGAGAGATGGATGTTGACTGAAAGACATTGGGTAGTCATATTGTACCTGTATTTCCAGATCAATATAGGCTCTGCTGGTGGTACAAACTTGTAAAACCCAACATGAGGGAAAGCGAACAACTAACACTCACCAGCCACTTTATCAGGTACACCTTGCCAATACCAGGTTTGACCCCATTTTGTCTTCAGAACTGCCTTCATTCTTCATGGCATAGGTTTAACTCTTGCTGGAAACATTCCTCAGAGATTTTGGTCCATATTGACATGATAGCATCACGCAGTTGCGGCAGATTTGTTGGCTGCACATCCATGACCCGTTGATACAAGGCAGGATGGATCCACCACACCATGACACCAACACCACCAACCTGAACTATTGATACAAGGCAGGATGGATCCACCACACCATGACACCACCACCACCAGCCTGAACCATTGATACAAGGCAGGATGGATCCACCACACCATGACACCACCACCAGCCTGAACTGTTGATACAAGGCAGGATGGATCCACCACACCATGACGACACCACCACCACCCTGAACCATTCATACAAGGCAGGATGGATCCACCACACCATGACACCACCACCAGCCTGAACCATTGATACAAGGCAGGATGGATCCACCACACCATGACACCACCACCAGCCTGAACCGTTGATACAAGGCAGGATGGATCCACCACACCATGACACCACCATCACCAGCCTGAACCATTGATACAAGGCAGGATGGATCCACCACACCATGACACCACCACCCCTGAACCATTGATACAAGGCAGGATGGATCCAACACACCATGACACCACCACCAGCCTGAACCATTGATACAAGGCAGGATGGATCCACCACACCATGACACCACCACCACCAGCCTGAACCATTGATACAAGGCAGGATGGATCCACCACACCATGACACCACTACCAGCCTGAACCGTTGATACAAGGCAGGATGGATCCACCACACCATGACACCACCAGCCTGAACCATTGATACAAGGCAGGATGGATCCACCACACCATGACACCACCACCAGCCTGAACCGTTGATACAAGGCAGGATGGATCCATGCTTTCATGTTGTTTACACCAAATTCTGACCCTACCATCTCAATGTCTCAGCTGAAATCCAGACTAATCAGGCCAGACAATGTTTTTCTAATCTTCTATTGTCCAATTTTGGTGATTCAGTGCAAATTGTAGCCTCCGTTTCCTGTTAGCTGACTGGAGTGGCACCCGGTGTGGTCTTCTGCTGCTGTAGCCCATCTGATTCAAGGTTAGGTGTGCTGTGCATTCAGAGATGGTATTCTGCATACCTTGGTTGTAACGAGTGGTTATTTGAGTTACTGTTGCCTTTCTATCATCTCGAACCAGTCTGCCCATTCTCTTCTGACCTCTAACATGAGGCATTTTCCTCCACACAACTGCCACTCACTGGATATTTTCTCTTTTTTTGGACCATTCTCTGTAAACCCTAGAGATGGTTGTGTGTGGAAATCCCAGTAGATTAGCAGTTTTTGAAATACTCACACCAGTCTGGCACCAACAACCATGTCGCATTCAAAGTCACTTAAATCCCCATTCTCATGCTCGGTTTGAACTTCAGGAAGTTGTCTTCACCACGTCTAGATGCCTAAATGCATTGAGTTGCTGCCATGTGATTGGCTGATTAGCAATTTGTGTTACCAAGCAATTGAGCAGGCGTACCTAATAAAAGGCTGATTGCTGATAGAACACTAAAAAGATACAAGTGTTGCCTGGTTATTTTGGGGAAACCCATTAGGGGACCCCCTTGTTATGCAGGCCATAGACAGGTCAAAAATCGGCCAATTTTTCGGGCGAAAAAAAAAAATCGACTGATTTTTCACACCGTTAGTGGGTTAATTGGTCGGCCGTTTTTTCGGGGGTTTTGGCACTTTTTTTTTTATTGGTAGAGTTGGAAAAAAATCTGCCGATGTTACCGATCGGCCGATTTTCCCGGCAATGATGAGCAAATCGGCCGATTGTTTTACCGATAAAAAATCTGCACATGAGCCGTGACCTGCAAGAAGAAGAAGAAAAAGAAGAATTCCAGTCCACTATTATATTTGACATGAAAAAGTATTGCGGTTGCAACAATGTATCTATTTGTATCTGCATAAAAACATCTGTATCCGAAATGGATACATATGGATACATTGTTGCAACCGCAAGACTTTTTCATGTCAAATATAATAGCGGAGCTGCAAGGGACAGAAGTAATTAAATGCCGGCCGTAGACGGGACGAAAATCGGCCAATTTTTTTTTTTTTGCCATTGGTGGTAACGTCGGCCTATTGAACTGTCGATTTTTTTTTTTTTTTTTTAAATGGCCAGTTTTCGACCCGTCTATGGCCTGCATTAGTCAGGAACTGACCTCAGTTTAGGAAATGGCTCGAACGAGCAGATGTTTTGTTTGTTTTATGCGAAGGGCTTGCTGTACAAGGTTCTCCTGCCTGGTTACATAGGACTATGAAGAAAGGTTACAAAGTGTTTCTTAACTCTACTAAAACCGAACGCCCCACATGCTCTATGTTATCCATTATATAGAATGAGTTGGAACATGAAGTGATTTTGTGATTTACACTTTCTTTAAATTTTTCCTAGGTGGAGAGTGAAGTGGAAGGTGAGGTCTGCCTGCAGTACAAGTTTAAAGATGAAATCGTAAAGAACGATCTTCGTTTCCCACTGAAGGTGCAGAATGCAGAAAGGTCAGTATTTAGTATTTGAAACACCCTACAATAGTGACAAACATTCCCTGTGTTATATTTTTAGAGTCACCACCAACAGACTGGATGTCTTCTCATGCACTGTCTATTTTCTCTTACCCACCATTTGCAGACTGGCAAACCTCTGACATCCTGATGTCTTATCTTCTTTTAGGTCAAACATCCACAGACTAGCAAAGCCCAGGTCTACTCACGCCCTTTCTATCTTCTCTTACTGACCATCCACAGACTGGCAGAGCTCAGGTCTACTCACACCCTTTCTATCTTCTCTTACCGATCATCCACAGACTGGTAGAGCTCAGGTCTACTCACGCCCTTTCTATCTTCTCTTACCGATCATCCACAGACTGGTAGAGCTCAGGTCTACTCACGCCCTTTCTATCTTCTCTTACTGACCATCCACAGACTGGCACAGCTCAGGTCTACTCACCCCCTTTCTATCTTCTCTTACCGATCATCCACAGACTGGCAGAGCTCAGGTCTACTCACGCCCTTTCTATCTTCTCTTACCGATCATCCACAGACTGGCAGAGCTCAGGTCTACTCACGCCCTTTCTATCTTCTCTTACTGACCATCCACAGACTGGCACAGCTCAGGTCTACTCACCCCCTTTCTATCTTCTCTTACCGATCATCCACAGACTGGCAGAGCTCAGGTCTACTCACGCCCTTTCTATCTTCTCTTACCGATCATCCACAGACTGGTAGAGCTCAGGTCTACTCATGCCCTTTGTCTTCTCTTACTGATCATCCACAGACCAGCAAAGCTCGGGTCTACTCACGTCCTTTCAATCTTCTCTTACCGATCATCCACAGACTGGCAGAGCTCAGGTCTACTCACGCCCTTTCTATCTTCTCTTACCGATCATCCACAGTCTGGTAGAGCTCAGGTCTACTCACGCCGTTTCTATCTTCTCTTACCGATCATCCACAGACTGGCAGAGCTCAGGTCTACTCATCCCTTTCTAGCTTCTCTTACCGATCATCCACAGGCTGGAAGAGCTAAGGTCTACTCACGCCCTTTCTATCTTCTCTTACCGATCATACACATACTGGCACAGCTCAGGTCTACTCACGCCCTTTCTGTCTTCTCTTACTGATCATCCACAGACTGGCAGAGCTCAGGTCTACTAAGGCCCTTTCTATCTTCTCTTACCGATCATCCACAGACTGGCAGAGCTCAGGTCTACTCACGCCCTTTCTATCTTCTCTTACTGATCATCCACAGACTGGCAGAGCTCAGGTCTACTCACCACTACCTTTCTATCTTCTCTTACTGATCATCCACAGACTGGTAGAGCTCAGGTCTACTCACCACTACCTTTCTATCTTCTCTTACCGATCATCCACAGACTGGCAGAGCTCAGGTCTACTCACGTCCTTTCTATCTTCTCTTACCGATCATCCACAGACTGGCAGAGGTCTAGTGTTATACGCTATCTAGCTTCTTTCAGACCCACAAACTGACAGAGCTTACAGTGCCTTGAAAAAGTATTCATACCACTTGAAGTTTTCTACATTTTGTCATGTTCCAACCAAAAATGTAAATGTATTTTATTGGGATTTTATATGATAGACCAACACAAAGTGGCACGTAATTGAAGTAGAAGGAAAATGATAAATGGTTTTCAAATTTTTTTACAAATATCTGAAAAGTGTTTCATGCTTTGTACTCAGCTCCTTTTACCCTGATACCCCTAACTAAAATCTAGTGGAACCATTTGCCTTTAGAAGTCACCTAATTAGTAGAGTCCCCCTGTGTGTCATGTGATCTCAGTATAAATACAGCTGTTCTGTGAAGCCCTCAGAGGTTTGTTAGAGAACATTAGTGAGCAAACAGCATCATGAAGGTCAAGGAGCGCACCAGACAGGTCAGGGATAAAATTGTGGAGAAGTTTAAAACAGGATCAGGTCATTAAAAAAAAAAAAAAACAAGCATTGAACATTTCACTGAGCACTGTTCAATCCATCAACCAAAAATGGAAAGAGTACGGCACAACTGCAATCCTACCAAGACATGGCCGTCCACCTAAATTGACAGGCCGGGCAAGGAGAGCATTCATCAGAAAAGTAGCCAAGGGGCCCATGGGAACTCTGGAGGAGCTGCAGAGATCCACAGCTCAGGTGGGAGAATCTGTCCACAGGACAACTATTAGTCGTGCACTCCACAAATCTGGCCTTTATGGAAGAGTGGCAAGAAGAAAGCCATTGTTGGAGGAAAGCCATAAGAAGTCCTGTTTTCAGTTTGCGGGAAGCCATGTGGGGGACACAGCAAACATGTGGAAGAAGGGGCTCTGGTCAGATGAGATCAAAATTGAGCTTTTTGGCCTAAAAGCAAAACTCTGTGTGGTGGGAAACTAACACTGCACATCATCCTGAACACACCATCCCCACCGTGAAACATGGTGGTGGCAGCATCATGTGGTGGGGATGCTTTTCTTCAGCAGGGACAGGGAAGCTGCTCAGAGTTGATTGGAAGATGGATGGAGACAAATACAGGGCAATTTTAGAAGAAAACCTGTTAGCGTCTGCAAAAGACTTGAGACTGGGGTTGAGGTTCACCTTCCAGCAGGACTACGACCTGAAACATCCAGCCAGAGCTACAATGCGATGGTTCAGATCAAAGCATATTCATGTGTTAGAATGGCCCAGTCACAGTCCAGACCTAAATCCAATGGAGAATCTGTGGCCAGACCTGAAAATTGCTGTTCCCAGACGCTCTCCATCCAATCTGACAGAGCTTGAGCGATTCTGCAAGAAGAATGGGCAGAAATGTCCCCCTCTAGATGTGCAAAGCTGGTAGAGACATCCCCAAAAAGAATTGCAGCTGGAATTGCAGCCAAATGGGGTCCTACAAAGTACTGACTCTGGGGGGCTGAATACAAATGCCGCCACACTTTTCACAGATTTATTGGATCACAAATGTTGAAAACCATTTCTCATTTTCCTTCCACTTCACAATTATGTGCCACTTTGTGTCGGTCTATCACATCCAATCCCAATAAAATACATTGACGTTTCTGGTTATAATATGACAACATGAGGACAAATTCAAGGGGTAGGTATACTTTTCAAGGCACTGTAAGTCACATCATGCACTATCTATACTCTTTCAGGACCCGCCATCTACAGACTGGCAGATCTCGGATATCATCATGCACTGTCCATTTTCTCTCAAACACCATCCACAGATGGCCATAATCGAAGCATCCTATCCAGCTTCCAGGCCCACCATCCGCAGATGTCCATAGTCTAAGCATCCTATCTATTCTCTTCCAGGCCCACCATCCGCAGATGTCCATAGTCTAAGCATCCTATCTATTCTCTTCCAGGCCCACCATCCACAGATGACCATAGTCTAAGCATCCTATCTATTCTCTTCCAGGCCCACCATCCACAGATGGCCATAATCGAAGCATCCTATCTATTCTCTTCCAGGCCCACCATCCACAGATGTCCATAGTCTAAGCATCCTATCTATTCTCTTCCAGGCCCACCATCCGCAGATGTCCATAGTCTAAGCATCCTATCTATTCTCTTCCAGGCCCACCATCCGCAGATGGCCATAGTCTAAGCATCCTATCTATTCTCTTCCAGGCCCACCATCCGCAGATGGCCATAGTCTAAGCATCCTATCTATTCTCTTCCAGGCCCACCATCCGCAGATGGCCATAGTCTAAGCATCCTATCTATTCTCTTCCAGGCTCACCATCCGCAGATGGCCATAGTCTAAGCATCCTATCTATTCTCTTCCAGGCCCACCATCTGCAGATGGCCATAGTCTAAGCATCCTATCTATTCTCTTCCAGGCCCACCATCCGCAGATGTCCATAGTCTAAGCATCCTATCTATTCTCTTCCAGCCCCACCATCCACAGACTGGCAGCCAAAACTCTGATCTCTGAGCTTGAGCATGGAACAGAGACTCAGTCTGAAGAAGTCAAGAAGAAGATCTTGGAGACCAGTCTGCAGTCTGGTGTTGTCTCCTCTCTCACAGCCTATGTAGCCGTCAACAAGGACAGCAAGACACGTGTGGAGGGTCCTGCTGTGCGCAGGGATGTCCCAGCTCCAGGTATGTCGTTTTCACATTTCAATGCAGCAGATCGATCCTTAACTCCACTAACAACGTCTGTCTATCTTAGAGAAGGCAACAAATAGTTACTTCTGCTTTAGTCCATTGTCAGCTGTGACTATGGCAGGTCTTTGTAATTAGTCATCCAAACATAACTCATCAGTGGAAGGTAGACTCTGTTCATCTATCTACATTTCCGCAGGGACCAATCATATTCCAGGATTATAAATTCACATATTGTTGATGCTGATATTGACAGCCGATTTATATGAACGACTCCTTATATAAAGTTGTCTAATGTCGCTCATTGACTTTCCTCCTGACTCTTCTAGGTAGGTGCTCCTTGAGTCTTCTACCTTGAAAATAGAGGGGAAGAAGTCAGGACTGTTATTGGGTGCATCTCTAGTTCGTGGTCAGAGAACTAAGTCCCATTTAGGACGGAGTTAAATCGTATTTTACCAAAACAAAAAAAAAAACCAAACATTTAATATACAGTATCTTAGCTTATCAGTACTTAGATGAGGCTGCTGAGTTTTTTTTACTTTTTAGTCTAAGAACATTTTCAGCAAGTACAGAAAACACCTGCTGGGTTTGCCAGAAATGCCATGTTCTTGTTTCTTAAATCAAAGCACAAAACCTCACTTTTTTTTTTTTGTAAACTACTAATCCCATCCATCCACCATGTAATGGACATGAACAAAGGTAGACAGTTAAATTGATACTGAAGGCTTCTTTTTTTTTTTTCTTTTAACCATTTCAATACCGGGCAATTTTCCCCCTTCCTGCCCAGGCCAGTTTTCAGGTCTCAGCGCTCTCACACTTTGAATGACAATTGCGCGGTCATACAACATTGCACCCAAACTAAAATTTTATCATTTTCTTCACACAACTAGAGCTTTCTTTTGGTGGTATTTAATCACCGCTGGGGTTTTTATTTTTTGCTAAATTAACAAAAAAAGACCGAAAATTTTGAAAAAAAAAACATGTAAATAATTGTTCTTCATAAATTTAGGCCGAGATGTATTCTGCTACATGTCTTTGGTGAAAATAACCCAAATTAGGATGTATTATTTAGTTTGTAGGAAAGTTATAGAGTTCACAAACTATGGTATAGATCTGAATATTGATCAATCCTGAAGTACTGACAGCCAATCTAATTTCTTGAGGTCCAAGAATGTCAGAACAGTACAGATATCCCCCAAATGTCAGGACAGTACAGATATCCCCCAAATGTCAGGACAGTACAGATATCCCCCAAATGTCAGGACAGTACAGATATCCCCCAAATGTCAGGACAGTACAGATATCCCCCAAATGTTAGGACAGCACAGATATCCCCCAAATGTCAGGACAGTACAGATATCCCCCAAATGTCAGGACAGTACAGATATCCCCCAAATGTCAGGACAGGACAGATATCCCCCAAATGTCAGGACAGGACAGATATCCCCCAAATGTTAGGACAGCACAGATATCCCCCAAATGTCAGAACAGTACAGATATCCCCACAAATGTTAGGACAGTACAGATATCCCCCAAATGTCAGGACGGTACAGATATCCCCCAAATGTCAGGACGGTACAGATATCCCCCCAAATGTCAGAACGGTACAGATATCCCCCAAATGTCAGAATAGTACAGATATCCCCCAAATGTCAGAATAGTACAGATGTCCCCCAAATTACCCCTTTTTGCAAAGTATACAGTCCGATGTACTTCATAAGAGGAATGGCGAGTTTTTTGAAGTTGTATTTTTTTTGTCATAATTTTCCGGAAAATGAAAAAATAAAAAAAATTATTTTCACAATTTGTTTTTTTACATACTGTCACCAGTGCAGCACAGCGTCATCATATAACTGGCATGGCGGTGATCAGGGACACTGACTGGTGACAGTATGAAAAAAATATATATATATTTTTTTTTTTTTTTTTTTTATTATTTTACATTTTTTATTACATTTTTTTTCTTTTTAAGATTTTTTTTTTTTCATATTTCACTATGTCCAAAGTAGTACAATGTTACCATAGTAACATTGTACTACTTTGGGGAAGTGATCAGTATTTTTTTTTTTTTACACAATTTGCTTATAGCAAAGAATTACTTTGCTATAAGCAAGCATTTACCTGAATGACATCGATTCATTCAGGGTTTTTTTTTTTTTTTTCTTTTTGTGCTTAGCTGTGATTTGGCCACAGCTAATCACATGACATGTGCATGTGATTAGCTGTGACCATTCACAGCTAGACACTAGTATACAATGGATGGCATGAATGAAGCCATCCATTGTATACAACTGTCATGTGACCTGCTGTGATTGGTCACAGCAGGTCACATGGTACCTGCAAAAGGGGACGGTACTCATATCTGTCATCGGCCGTGTCCGAGGTACACGGCCGGTGACAGATAGCGCCAGTGCGCGTCTCTGCAAGCGCACGAACTGCGCATGTGCGGGAGGATGCCATATGACGGCCTCCCAGAAAGCTGGGACATTTTTTAGGACACCATACGGCTATTGGCCAGGTGTCAAATGGTTAAATAACAAACATATCTATACATACCTGCTATGCGCAGTGGTTTTGCACAGAGCAACCCCAATCCTCCTCTTCTCGGGTCACCTACTGGCTCTCCTGGCCCCTCCCTCCTGTCGGGTGCCCCACAGCAAGCGGCTTGCAATGGGGGCACCTGCTGCTCCATGTGTCCATTCACACACAGAGCCATGGCTTGGCCTCACCCCCTCTCTCTGCTCACTGACTGTGATTGACTCCTACTGCGGTCTCTGCCAATGAGGAGAGGGAGTTCTGGGATACCCGAGAATCTGCTTTACTGTAACTGACAATTGTGCGGTCATGCAACGCTGCACCCAAATTAAATTTACGTATTTTTTTCCCACAAATTGAGCTTTTAGGTGGTAATGTATTGCCTCTGCGGTTTTTATTTTTTGCGCTCTAACAAAAAAAAAAAAAGACTGACAATTTTGAGAAAAAAACAACATTTTTAACTTTTTGCGATTAAACATGTCCAGTAAAAAAAATTTAAAAATCAAATTATCATAAATTTAGGTCAAAATGTATTCTGCTCCGTGTCTTTGCTAAAAAAAAAAAAATCCCAATACATGTAAATTAATTGTTTTACATGAAGGTTATATCGTCTGCAAATGGCGGTATATATACTGGGATTTTTATTTTTTATTTTTACTGGTAATGGTAGCGATCAGCGACTTACTGTGAGACTGCAGCGGACATTCTGACACTGGGGGGGAACTGACTTGGTGTCACTGACATCCCCAGGTGACACCAATACAGTGATCAATGCTAAAAAAAAAAAAAAAAGCACTGACACTGTACTAATGGCACTGGGCAGGAAGGGGTTAACCACTTCCCGACTGCCCTATAGCAGAAATACTGCTACAGGGCGGCACAGATGCACAAAATCACGTGTATATACAGTATACACGTAATTTTGCATTTCTGGGTAGGGGGCGCTGCTGTCAGTCACCGGGTTCCAAACGGTGATCACTTGCCGCCGCCCAGTGATTCCCGAGGATCTCTGACGGGGAGAACTGTTTTGTTTACCAACAGTTCTCCCTGTCAGCTCGGGCACACTGCTTTGGATGGCTGTGCACAGTTCTCCCCGTCAGAGATCCTCGGGAATCACTGGGCGGCGGCAAGTGATCACCGTCCAGAACCCGATGACTGAGAGCAGCGCCCCCTACCCAGAAATGCAAAATTACGTGTATATATACATGTGATTTTGTGGATCTGTGCTGCCCTGTAGCAGCACAGCCATCCAAAGCAGTGTGATTACAGTGAAGCACACAGACACTGCCCCCTAGTAAAACTCTCCCAGCACACAGTTAACCCTTTGATTGCCCCAGATGTTAATGCCATCCATTGTATGCAATTGTGTCACTAGCTGTGATTGGTCACAGTGATCACATGTACAGACTGGGGCAATCACAGCCCCATCTGTGTCATGTGAAAAACCGTGGCAAATCACACCTAATCACAGCAAAAATACCTGAATGAATCGCTTTCGTTCAGTTAAATGCTTGCTTATGGCAAAGAAATTCTTTGCTATAAGCAATCACAATGTGTAAAAAAAACAAACAAAAAAAAACACTGATCACTTCCCCAAAGTATCTCAGTGTTAGTATGTTGACATTATACTACTCTGGTCACAGTGTATTGTGAAAAAGAAATCTTAAAAAATCTTAAAAGAAAAGGATTAAAAAAATTATTAAAAAGTTGAAAATCATTTTTTATTCTTTATTTTTTTTGTACTGTCACCAGTCAGTGTCCCTGATCACTGCTACATCGATTTATATGATGACTCTGTACTGTACTGGTGACAGTATGTAAAAAAAAAAAAAAAAAAATTGTGAAATTTTTTTTTCATTTCTTCATTTTCCAAATAATTATGACAAAAAAAAATTACAACTTCATAAATGCCTGTTACAAAATAACTGTCTGCTATGCAAAAAGGGGTCATTTGTGGAATCTCTGTACTGTCCTGGCATTTGTAGGCCTCAAGAAATCAGATTGGTCATCGGGATTGATAAATTTTCAGATTTATCTATATATATATAGTTTGTGGACTCAAACTTTCCTTCAGACTAAATAATAAACACTGATTTGGGTTATTTGGCCTAAATTTATGAAGAACAATTATTTATTTTTAAACTTTTATAACAGAAACAAAGAAAAACGTTTTTTTTTTTTTTTTTTTTTTCAAAATGTTCGGTCTTTTTTTGTTAACCACTTGCCCTCCTGAGGATTTACCCCCCTTAATGACCACGCCTCTTTTTGCTACTCGGCGCTGCACTAATTCAACTGATAATTGCGCGGTCATGCAATGCTGCACCCAAATGAAATTTACGTCCTTTTTTCACACAAATAGAGCTTTCTTTCGGTGTAATTTGATCACCTGTGCGCTTTTTATTTTTCACGCTATAAACAAAAAAAGGCCAAAAATTTTGAAGAAAAACAATATTTTTTACTTTCAGCTATAAAAAATATATAGTAAACTCAAAGTTGGTTATAAATTTAGGCCAAAATGTATTCTGCTCCATGTTTTTGGTAAAAAAAAATCCCAATGAGTGTATATTGATTGCTTTGTGTGAAGTTATAGCGTCTACAAACTATGGTATAAATACTGCAATTTACGCCATTTTTCTGCTATACAGCGCTGCGCTAGTTTAACTGACAATTGCGCGGTCATGCAATACGGTACATAAATGAAATTTACATCCTTTTTTTCCCACAAATTGAGCTTTTTTTCAGTGGTATTTGATCGCCTGTGCGGTTTTTATTTTTTTGCGCTATAAAAAAAAAAGGCTGACAATTTTGAGGAAAAAAAAAACAATATTTTGGACTTTTTGCTATAAAACATGTCCAGTAAAAAAAAAATGCAAAAATCAAATTTAGTCATAAATTTCTGCCAAAATGCATTCTGCTCCGTGTCTTTGCTATAAAAAACTCCAATACATGTAAATTAATTGGTTTACGTGAAAGTTATAGTGTTTACAAATGGCGGGAAAGATACTGGGATTTTTAGGTTTTTTTATACTAATAATGGCAGCGATCAGCGACTTATGGCAGCGACCAGCGACTTATGGCGGGACTGCAGGACTGTGGCGGACATTCTGACATTGCGGGGTACTGACTTGGGGTCACTGACATCCCCAAAAACACTAATACAGTGATCAGTGCAAAAAAAAAACACTGACACTGTACTAATGGCACTGGGGAGGAAGGGGGTAACTTTATTTATCAGGGAAGGGTTATAGGAGTGAGGGGAGTGTTTTACTAGGGGGCGGGGTGTGTACTGGGCGGGACAAGGCTGATCGAGAAAGAGAAACTGTTCTTTCTCGATCAGCTCATCCTCGAGCTGACAGGGAAGTGACAGTCAGCACAGCTACTGCCGCTGTGCTGTCTGTCACTGTTTGCTGCCGATTGCCGGGAAACAGCCGCTAAGGAGCGGCTGTGACCCGGCGACTGACATCTGCGGCAGTGATCGGCGGGACAGATAGGGCGGCGGCGCGCCTCGCGCGCGCCCCCTATTTGTTTACAAAACACACGTTTTAAAACGTGGTTTTGCCTGCGAGTGCCGCCCTGCCACCGTATATCTACAGTGGCTGGGCGGCATGCGGTTAATTTAGCAAAAAACTAAAACCCCGGCGGTGATTAAATACCACCACAAGAAAGCTCTAGTGTTGTGAACAAAACAATAAAAACTTAGTTCGGGTACAGAGTTGCATGACCGCGCAATTGTCATTTGAAGCGTGAGAGCGCTGAAAGCTGAGAATTGGCCTGAGCAGGAAGAGGGTAATAGTGCCTGGGATTGAAGTGGTTGAAGGCGGGGGGGCGGACTGACAACTCATGGGGCCCCCAGGCAATAGGGGATCATGGGGCCCTGTGTCTTTGCCCAAACTCAAAAAAGCCTATGAAAAAGGTACCAGGGGCATCTCATGGGGCCCCCTACTGACCCCGGGCCCTCGGGCAGTGCCCGAGTTTCCAAACGGTCAGTCCGCCCCTGGGTTTAAGTCTAGTCTGGGTGACAACCATAGCTTCCAATAGTGAAGAAAAAGTGTAGACATGGAGGGGCAGGAAGTATGTTTTTATGATCACCAGGTGAAAATAAAAGGGGAAAAAAAGCTTGGAAGAAAAAGAAAACTAATGCAGCTACCACATCTAAGTACTAAGCTGTAATACATTTTTGTGTTTTGGGTTTAGACACGCTTTTAATTCTTCCAGCCCTGATGACCAGTCACGTGTCATGGTGCGGAATCCACAAGTATCCTGTAGAGTCTGTATAATTGTGTTTATCAGATATCATCTGTCCTGTCTTACAGCATTCATGATGATGCGCTCAGCAGGATTCGGTGGAAGACCTAGAATGATGGCTTGTGGTGCTTCCATGCCAATGCCAAAACAAAAGATGGCCAAGCTTGGTAAGTGCCATTTTTTTTTTCTTTGTGATTGCTGATTCTGCTGTGTTGCCACTTTAGAAAACCCATGGTGCTCTGGGAATTCTCTGATGGTGCAGCCTTAGTTGTAAGACGAAAAATGTATACTTCTGTATATTAGCAAATTCCAGGACAGGTAAGTTTGTTGGGTTGGCCTGATGGTTAGTGTGAAGGGTAGGGTGCAAATGGCGGGGGACAGAGACAGCAGAGTCTGTGAGGGCGGAGGAGATGTTTTCACGGATCGGGCTAATAAGGGTGGTAATGGCGATGGAGGGGTGACTGTCAGGGATGGACAGTGAGCAGAGGGTAAATGATAGATGCAGAGAGGGGTGTATTGTGGGTAGAGGTGAGTTTGGTTGGGAGGAAAGCATTGCAATGGGGGGCAGAAGTGGGCGAGGTGGGAGGCATTGACAGCTGCGGGCGAGGTGGCCAGAAAGGTATGTACTGTGATTAGAGGGTGAAGTGACCAGAGAGGTAAGAACTGTAAGTGGGGGGTGAGTTGGTGGCCAGGGAGGTGATGTGACTGGGGAGAGTGAGACGGAAGGGAGATGCTAGGACTAGGAACATTTCTGAAATAAGTATGAGGAAGGTGCTGGGATGTAGGGGATGAGGCCGGTGGGAGGGAGGTCCTATGACCAGGGAAGTTGGTGGGGAAGGTGCTGTGATGAGGGGATGAGGCCGGTGGGAGGGAGGTCCTATGACCAGGGAAGTTGGTGGGGAAGGTGCTGTGATGAGGGGATGAGGTTGGTGGGAGGGAGGTCCTATGACCAGGGAAGATGGTGGGGAAGGTGCTTGATGTAGTAGATGAGGTTGGTGAGAGGGAAGTCCTATGACCAGGCAAGTGGTGGGGAAGGTGCTTGATGTAGGGGATAAGGTTGGACGGAGGGAGGTCCTATGACCAGGGAAGATGGTGGGGAAGGTGCTTGATGTAGTAGATGAGGTTGGTGAGAGGGAAGTCCTATGACCAGGCAAGTGGTGGGGAAGGTGCTTGATGTAGGGGATAAGGTTGGACGGAGGGAGGTCCTATGACCAGGGAAGTGGTGGGGAAGGTGCTTGATGTAGGGGATGAGGTTGGAGGGAGGGAGGGAGGTCCTATGACCAGGAAAGTGGTGGGGAAGGTGCTTGATGTAGTGGATGAGGTTGGTGGGAGGGAGGTCCTATGACCAGGCAAGTGGTGGGGAAGGTGCTTGATGTAGGGGATGAGGTTGGTGGGAGGGAGGTCCAATGACCAGGGAAGTGGTGGGGAAGGTGCTTGATGTAGGGGATAAGGTTGGAGGGTAGTACTGTGATGTGATTGGTGAAGTGGAAAGTAGGGAGGTGCTGTGACCAGGGGGGTGGTGGTGACATGTGTGGTAGAGAAGACCTAAAGATTGGGGGCTGAGGTGGGCAAGAGGGAAGTTTTGTGATCAGGGAAGGTTGGTGAAACGGATATGAAATGGGAGGCAGGGCCAAAACAAGGGGTGGGCAGGAGGGGCGGCTGCCCTGGGCGCAGTGGTTTACTGTAGGGATGGGGAGGCACCTTCCTTCTGTTACAAGGCTGACAGGGGTAGTATAAGCGGCAGAGATTTTGACAAGCGAGTGACTGCTGGGAGAAGGATCCCCTAAGCTGGCACATGTACAGGGGAGGGGGGCAGTTGGCACCTTTTGCCCTGGGTGCTGCATGACCTTGTCCCTGCACTGAAGAGAGGTGCTGTGATGTGGTTGGGAGTGAGGTGCTGGGACCAAGTGGGGTGGGAGTGAGGTGCTGGGACCAAGTGGGGTGGGAGTGAGGTGGTGGGAGTGAGGTGCTGGGACCAAGTGGGGTGGGAATGAGGTGGTGGGAGTGAGGTGCTGGGACCAAGTGGGGTGGGAATGAGGTGGTGGGAGTGAGGTGCTGGGACCAAGTGGGGTGGGAGTGAGGTGCTGGGACCAAGTGGGGTGGGAGTGAGGTGCTGGGACCAAGTGGGGTGAGAATGGTGAGATCCATTCAAGTGACCTGGGAGGTGAAGAGGGTGTGACCAGGAGGAGGGTAGAAAGGAGGTCCTGGGTGGTGTGGATTGGGCTGAATGGGGGGCATGGGAAACTCTGTGAAAATTGGGTTGGGGGGGGGGGGGGGGTGGGTGAGAAGGGTTCAGAGGTTCTATGGAGCAGCGAGTCTTCATGCAGAACTTTGCTTACAGCAGCATGCCAGCACACAGTTAACCCTTTGATCGCCCCAGATGTTAACCCCTTCCTGCCCAGTGCCATTAGCACAGTGTCAGTGCTTTTTATTAGCACTAATCACTGTATTGGTGTCACCGGGGATGTCAGTGACACCAAGACAGTCTCCCCCCCGTGTCTCCAAAATTATCAGTTTTTTTTTTTATTATTATTATAGTGCAAAAAATAAAAAACACACAGGCAATCAAATACCACAGAAAAAAGCTCTAAGCTTTATTTGTGGGGAAAAAAAAAGATGTAAATTTCAGCAGACCCGCTAGAAGTTGCTAATCGCCGCCATTAGTAAAAAAAATAAAACTTCCAGTATCTTTCCCGCCATTTGTAAACGCTATAACTATCACATAAACCGATTAATTTACACGTATAGGGATTTTTTTTAGCAACGACACGGAGCAAAATACATTTTGGCCGAAATTTATGACGAAATTTGATTTTTTTAAAAATTTTTTACTGGACATGTTTAATAGAAAAAAGTAAAAAAAATATAGTTTTTTTTTTTTTTTTTCTCAAAATTATCGTTTTTTTTTGTTTTTTTTTTTTTATAGTGCAAAAAAAATAAAAAACACACAGGTGATCAAATTCCACTGAAAGAAAGCTCCATTTGTGGGGAGAAAAAGGACATCAATTTCAGCAGTCCCGCTATAAGTTGCTAATCGCCGCCATTACTAGTAAAAAAAAAAAAAGAAAAAATCCCATTATCTATATCTCCATTTGTAAACTTAAAAAAGTTAAAATATTGTTTTTTTCTCAAAATTATCGGTCTTCTTTTTTCTTTTTTTTTTTTTTGTATAGTGCAAAAAATAAAAAACGCACAGGCAATCAAATTCCACCGAAAGAAAGAAAGCTCCATTTCTGGAGAGAAAAAAAAGATGTAAATTTGCTAATCTAATTTATGACAAAATTAAATTTTTTTCTTTAATTTTTTTGCTGGACATGTTTAATAGAAAAAAGTAAAAAAAAATTTTTTTTTTTATTTTCTCAAAATGATCGGTCTCATTTTTTGCGCTATAAAAAAAAAAACGCACAGGCGATCAAATTCCACTGACAGCTCCATTTGTGGAGAAAAAAAGATGTAAATTTCAGCAGACCCGCTAAAGTTGCTAATCTAATTAATGACAAATTTTTTTATTTTTTTCTTTAATTTTTTTGCTGGACATGTTTAATAGAAAAGAGAAAAAAAATTGTTTTTTTCTCAAAATTTATTGGTCTTTTTTGCGCTATAATAAAAAAAAAAAAAAAAAGCACAGGCGATCAAATTCCACTGAAAGAAAGCTCCATTTGTGGAGAGAAAAAAAAGACGCAAATTTCAGCAGTCCCGCTAAAGTTGCTAATCTAATTTATGACAAAATTTTTATTTTTTTCTTTAATTTTTTTGCTGGACATGTTTAATAGAAAAAAGTAAAAAAATTTTTTTTTTTATTCTCAAAAAGATCGGTCTCATTTTTTGCGCTATAAAAAAAAAAAAAAAACGCACAGGGGATCAAATTCCACCGAAAGAAAGCTCTATATGTGGGGGGGGAAAAAAAGAATGTAAATTTCATTTGGATGCAGCGTTGCATGACCGCGCAATTGTCAGTTAAAGTAACGCAGGGCCGTTACGCAAAAAAAGGCGTGGTCAGGAAGGGGGGGGGATCCTCTGGAGGGGTTAAGGGATTTTCCTTCTTGACGGTCAGCTTTTCTTTATTTTACAGGTGGAAGATCATACAAAGCAGCGTACGGAATGGCCATGTCAGGTATGTCATTGTACACTGCGGGGGGGGGGGGGGGGGTGGCTAGTCGTATGAGGTCGGTATCGCTGATCAGCGTCATGTGACGTTTTCTTCATTAGCCGAATCATAGGCAGAAGACCGATCGCTGATTATTATTTTTGCGACGAATTTAAATTCTGTTCGTTCCCTACAAGGGGCTCGGTCAGAGTTTCACCGGGCAACAGAGAGCGTCCACCGAACTATACATATCATGCGATTTCTTCGGGATCTCGGATGACTGATCACAGGGCAGAGAGGGTGACAGTAAGAGCTCGCCCGCAGCAGAGCACACGCGTGCAGAACGAAGAAAAAAAATTGTTTCAGATCGATTCATTAAATTCTGTACCATAACAAAATTGGTTTAGCTTTCTTCATTTTTCGGCCAGATTCAAAATTTTCCAATAGATTTGAAGCCTTCGAATCGAAAATATCGAAATTCATTATGAAGAATAGCTGGTTCTGTTCTATTCAAAATTTCAAAAGATTTCTATATTCTGTCTATTCTATTTATTTCTTTTTTTTTTTTTAGTTTATTTTCTATTCTATTATTTTTATTTTTAGTATTATTAGTATTATTAGTAGTAGTATTATTATTTTTTTTTATTTGTTATTATTAGTTTTTTAGTATTATTATTATTTTTATTTTTATTATTACTAGTATTATTATTAATATTTTTATTGATATTTTTATTTTTAT